CCTGAGTGTCAAACAAAAGTAGAGCTGTTGTTGTGTATCGAAAAAGGGCCTTTACCTCTCAACGTCGCATCGCCCTCCTGCAAACATTGGCTCTTGACTAGTGGTTTGACTCATGTTCATATGTCGGAAAGCATAGCCAGTTTTCGATCGGGCAGGTTGAAAGTTATCTTTACAACAAAGAGTCCCACGCAGTTCTTCAGCTAATTGTAACATCACGATATTATCATACTAGCAGCATCGCTTGATAATCTTGTACGAGGTCAGGCGAGGCCTCAGGACGGGACTTGGGTGCAACCACCTCATGTCTTCGGGACTAGTATCTGTTAAGATCCCAGCCTCTCCAGGCAAAGCAAAGTGTTTTTCGCTTGAGACTCCATGCAATTGTGATCTTGTCGAATGGAAACTAAGTAGGTAACGATAGGAAGCCGAGAAATGAAGAGTCCTTGCGAAGGGTCATAATACTTCCTTCGTGCATTGAAGGGTCACGCACGATCTCGGTGTTTTCAGCATGAGCTGTGCTGAAAGGCTTCTTTATATATAATCTTGTTGTGATTAGCGAGATAATGTCAGTACACAGCATGATATCCTTGTATTTTCAAATGGGAAAAGAGAAAATACAAGATATTTTTATTAGGATCCTTTCGCTTTTACGAGCACATAATGTAAAAGGGGGTTTATCGTTGAAGAAGCACAAAATCATTAAAGAACTATTCTACTGTATGCTCTGTCGTGGATACTTCAGCACGCCGGTGTTACCGGTGCCGAAGTAAAGTACGTCTTGTAGTATACGTTGTTGCCAATATGCTTGGCCACACTGGGAGGGGGATTGAGCGGACCGCCCTGCTGGTTGGCATTAGGGAACAAGATGCTAGGGCTATTTGGAGAGAGAACGCTGGTTGGGCAACCGAGAACGGTGTTGCCGAAGTAGGGGTCAAGCTTGGAAATAGCCCATGTAGTCGCGGCAGCCACCTGCTCCGTAGTCCCGGCGACGAAGAGTGGCACCAGTGAATTGATACCCTGGTAAACATCACACAGCAGAGTTGTGGCATTCAGATTTCCTGTGCCAAGCTGCGCAACAGCCGGAGTAACAGGGTTGCGGAGGTAGATGAGGAGACCCTCCAGCACTGTCTGAACTGCAGTGTACGGCGTTGCACGACGGTACCAGTTGGCGGGCCATGTTTCCGGTACGTACTGGAATTCCCCCGTGGCGGAGTCGTACTTGGCCCCGATAATAGAGGAGATGGACTCATAATTGGCAACACCTCCTAGTCCGTAGGTGCCATTGCTGAAGAACTTGGACGCCAGATGTTAGTAGCTACTAGAGAATTAGAGAGAAGGAAGCAACTGACGTTAGGGTAGAAGGCAAAAGCCCCAAGAGAGACGATTAAGGGGAAAGGGAAGTAGTAGAGGTAAGGGTTGTTTTTCTGAGAGAACATGGACAGTTGTTGGTATTGTGTACCCATGTTGGTCAGGTCAAACTGCTTCGTTCCGCTCTTCGCTACGATGTCAACGTTCTGCTTGAACAGACGGGATGAAAGGTGGTGAGCATCGCCACATCCGTTGTAGAAATCTTCTCGGTTAGGTGAAATATCGGCCTAAGAGGGAGGTTAGACATATGCCACGAGAGAGAATTCAACTCATAGTCTCACCTCGACTGTTGAGTGCCTGTTCAATCCGCCAACATTCCCTGGGCCAGATCCCAAGTAGAAAGACTCAGTTGCGATATCTCCGTCCGTGAGGACAGCAAAAACACCGAGGATAGTTGACAAATCAGGACCCATGTTGAACCCGCGAGCAGTGGCTTCAATTACTTGGCCCAAGTTGACGTGGCCATCACGAGGCAGGTAGCCATGATTCGCAAGCAGATTCAAACCCGGGCAGGGTCCTCTGCTATCATTGGGGCCAGGTGCAATGAAGTCGTAGCCTGGTTCGGGACGCTTGTTTGCAGGGTTTAATGCCCCTTGAGCCACAGCGCCGAGGAGTCCGGTAATGGTGTTGGTGAGTGAGCCGATGATTCCGCCGAGGATCTGTGGCTCGGGGTTGGCTTCAGGTTCTGCGTTGCGCTTGATCAAAATTTCAAGATCTTCCTTTGTTGCCATAGATGGAAATGCGGCTGCTGAGGCGGCCAGCAAGGCTGGCAATGTACATTGATACCTCATTGCAAATAAGCAGCAAGTAAGTATCCGTGTTATGTGAAGTTGAGAAGAAAAGTCAGGCCAAAGAAACAGCTAGAGAATCTCTGGATGATGACGAAGGCTTGAGGTGATGAGAAGACGGTGACTTTTATAACCGATTTATTTGAATGACATAGTCCGTTGGACTACATTTAACAGAGACAAATCTCGGAATGATGACATAGTTCCAAAATAAATGCCCACGACACTTCGTCGACGCACTCTTCCCGGGGAATATTTAGTAGTGGTAGCGACATGGAAACGGCTGTGCGGGAAGATTTGATCCCGAGTGTAGCGTATCGGTCCGCGGGAATGGCGTCGTCAACGGCGCTGAAGCGTAACCACTAGACACTATAGTACCTATTGAGCTTCTACTTTCCCCGGATATGTACTCCGCAATAACATGTCTGGGGATCGGGAGGGCACGACAAAAGAACCTGGCCGTGTGCTAAAAACGATTCCAAACTATTACCGACATGCTATTCCTGTCCGCCACGCACGCAGCATCCATGCAGTGGCTGTCCAATATCAGCATTTTCTCAGGTAGTCTTGTCTGAAAAGGGAGTAGTGTTTAGACTATCGCGCGGGACAAAGGACTTCCGTCGGCAACGCTCGTGGTATTGCGCCCTTGTTATGACGTCTAATTTCGCTATGCTATACGTTCAAGTGCCCAATCACCACTTCGGAGAACTAATAAACTCGTCCAGGAGCAGCATAGGTGACAACAAACTTGCGGACGCCCAGTTGATTCGCGCTTATTTCCATAGTTTAGTATCAAAAGATCGTCATGGACGAGTCGATGCTAAACCTCGGCACAGTCCGTGGAACGAACATGGCTCAGATCTAGGCATGCAGCTTTGCAGATCCCCTATTAACTCTGTCTTAGCTCAAGTTCTTTCCGTGCCCTCATTGACAAATTCGTCACGTTTGATTGGTGAATTGCGCTTGCCAGCTTTGATCATTGGGAACGATGTGGTTGTTGGAGTAACACCTGGTCATGCTTTTTCCAATAAACTGTCTCATCCCTTTGAACAGTGTCATAGAACCAACCGGGCTAGGGGGGCTCATCGTCCCCTTCGCTCAAACTTCCCTCACCTCCTACGGCCGGTTTTCCCAGTCTGAACTCCCGTACATCTATAATTCCTATTATTGCACCCGGGTGCTACTTCTAGGCCCTGACTCTATGTTTGAGACCAGACTTGCAGCCTTTTGTCTCTCGTCTTCTCTCAGTTCGGCTGCATTCGTGCTAGACCTCCATTGGCACAAGTAATGATTGATTGAAAAAGAAATAGAACAGGGAAGAGAAATAAATAAAAGGAAGCTAAGTCGAGGCATCAAGGCGTTTCCCAGACGGGCCGAATCGCAGAGAGTAGCGCTAGTGCACAGGATGGGGACACGAGTGCATGAAGTCACAGGCCTCTCTGGATCGTATTCGGAAGATGCCAAAAGGCTCCATCCGTGTGCCCTGTTCACCTCTCCCTCAGATGTTGCGCAAGCGCACCTGCGGCCCACGCCGTGCTACGACGCACATCAACATGGTCAACCAGAGAAACAAGCTCATCTGAAGGCACCAAGACCCACGCATCCCAGCTATTATTCCTTCTTCTTGTTCTTACCAGGGAATACCGAAAACAGCTTTTCTCAAACTGGGTGAATGCTGGTAGATCAACTCATCCGACGGCCCGAGCCGCAACTCTCTGAACAGGAATGTGTGATTAGGATAAGATGCTATGGCGATCTGTGCTGAGTGATGCTTCAGCCTGTGATCATTTTGCGTGTCAGATTCTGAGGACTCTCGCGGAACATGCATATGAGAGTCAAGATACAGTCTGAGAAAGAAAAAAAGCAGCCTTTTCTTAGACATGCCGTTGCCTCATAGGAAGGTCGACTAGCATTTTCTGGAGGACCCAGGGGTGTTCATCTCCCATGCTCCCTGCTCTTCAATCAAGTCGGCTTGTTTACGACATGGGATAATCCAAAATTTTGGAAATTTGTTCGGCCGAATGGATCTCTCATTCTGTATGGTTCCATGCCCACACGAGCACATGAGCCAGAATGCAATGACACGTATATCCACTAACGCATTAAACCCTGATTTTGTCAATTCTACATGCCACAAACGGAAAGATCTTGGCAGCACGAATGTTGCAGAGTCAATGGCAGCATGACTAAGCGTCATCTCACAGATGGTCTGCTTGAAATTGCGCATGTTTTGAGTCACAAAGCTTGTCCTTTTCCTCCCTTCGTGTGTCTACATCCCACATCCTCGACAGCTTTAGGCGTGGTCTAACGCTCCATCTTCTTTGAGGATCTCACATCTACCACGATGTCCACTTCGCTCTTCAGCAGGACGACATCTGAGACTCTTCAATCATCTCAAACTTCCCCGAAGCGTCTGTCACTCTCACAGTCAGCAACAGCAACGAACCCATTGACGGCCTCGAGGGACATCTTCGTGCAGCAAAACTTTCCCGAACGAACAGGCTTGACAACTTTGCGAGCGTAGTTTACTAAGGATCAGAGTCTATTAGCATCCTATATCCTCTTCATTTCGCCGGGTACCCTGGCGACCATCCATAGACACCTACGATGAATACGTCCTCCAAATCTTTACGTGCCAAGTATGAATAGGAAGCTTCAGTGCGGAAACGACGTTTATTTCGTCTACATCGTACATTGAGCACCAATAGAGCAGCGCGAGACACCATTGATGAGAACTTCTATGAAGCCTACGTATGAAAACGGAACAGTTGCTCATCATGGCTAATTGCCAATCAGACATAAATAAGGATACATATGAACAACCCGACGGTTCTCATTCCCCATCTAAAACAACTGTGAAGAGTTTTGGCAAGGTGAACACCACACCAAGCACACGCACAACGTCCTCACAAATCACCCCTCACGTACCTCATAAACAAAAATTCTACTCTTGCCCTCTTCCGGCGCAAAATACAGCCTCACTCGTCCCCCAACGACAGCAACATCCATCGGGTTCTTCGTCATCAACACGCTCTTCCTCCTCATGCTCGCTTCTATGTGGTCCTCATCCCCCGTCCACGGCACAACCCCTGTTCTTTCCATGAACGGCACCTCCCACAGAGGAATCATCCCCTCCACTTCAACAATCGCCAACCCACCCACCTCCAACCCCGGCGCCAGCGTCGCGATGCCGGAACAAAGCATCAGATGCCTCCCGTCGACGATGCCGAGAGATTTGCAGTCTTGGTAATCGATCCAGTGCGAAGGATTCACGATTGTTGTCTGATGTCCGTCGACTTCCCCATTGTAATCCACTTCACCCCGTTTGCCAAGTTGAGCCTGTTCCCCCTTTCCAATCCCACCGCCAGTTTCGCCCTCCCATGTCATCCCGGCCTTGCTGATATCCCATCTCCTCGCAACTCTCCCACCCCACCCCAATGTCGTCAACGTCCCATTGTGGACATCATGCACGATCCCACCCTGGTGATCCGCCACCTGGAAGACCCTCTCCATTTCCACGCTGACCGGATTAACCCTCACCACTGTTGCCGTCGAATTCGGTCGGTACTGCGAGAGCGTAGCCCAAATATGTCGCCCATCAAAATCAATCCCTCCGGTATGATACTATATCCTTCGTTAGCCACCCGTCTGACTTCAAGGGGGCTGCAAAGTGACACAGGCCCCTAAAGAAGAGAGAACTGGGGTGAAAAGAATATCTGAGTCGAGATTTACCTCCAAGTCCCCTTCCTCGGAAACAACCCAGTCCCCAACACGTCTTCCGCGCCCGTCAAACACCACGAAATGCGCAAAGCCCGCCCCGGCACTCCGATCCGTCCCATCAATCCATTTTCCGTCAGGATACTTCTCCGTCGGGACGGTATACTCCCCTGCCGAAACCCAGAACCTTTCCTCATCACCATTCTCCTCCTTATCAACGTCCACTGAATCCCGTTCTCTGTCATTCCCCTCCATACCATTACCCGCAAGCCTCACAATTCCCTCCGGCTCCCATAACTCCCCCTCAAGCTCAATTATCTTGACAAGATCCAGTCTCGCACCCTGGTCACCACTCATACTCGACCGAGACAACCCCGTCAACTGCTTCACAATCTCCGCGCCATCCCGCGTAGCCCCAGGCTCAGGAAGTGGTACGGGCGCTAGCGGGACATTGGGCGTCGGCCTCGTGAGATTCTTCCACTTCATTGTTCCTTCTACGACGCTGTTGCTGGCCAAAAACAATAAGAGGAAAGGGTGCGGCGCCCGGACCCTCATCACGGTTACTCCGTGAACACGGTCTCTGTCCAAGGGCGCGAGGCTCGAGGGAATGCGAAAATTGTACAATCTGCTGCAGGTTTTGGGGAGAATGTAACCACAGAAGGGGCAAGCTGCGTTGAAATGATGCAAATTTGAAAAGGTCAAGTGCTGTGGATGAAGCAAGATGAAGCAATCCCTGGCCCAGCCGGAGATGTCGGAAGAAATCATGTCGATCAGGGCCCGCCCCGCACTCCCCGCCTCGGCCCGTGTTGTCCTCGGTTGCCTGTCCCGGACGCATTGGAGGTACACAGGTCGAGAGCCCCAGCACTGCATCGAATGACATGACGCAGATCCCAGTGCCGTATTAGGGCTTTCTTACATTCGATGCAAGTTGCCTGAGCGTCGAAATCCTTGATTTGATGCGCTTGCCAATCGAGAGGGGGCAGGGGGGGGGGGGGCCAACCTGAGAACACGAGTCGCGTCATATCACCAGGCACACGAAGCATTTCAACTAATCTATTCTTTCCGATCAATCAAATGCTAAATACAGTGTGAATTAACCCATACGAACAATCACCGACATGGTGTACACGGTATAAAACATCATACCATGATGCCGGCAGCTTTCAAGCCGGGCATGTTTAGGCCCCCAAACTCCAGAGTACTCCGTCATGTACAGTGCTGCGTATCGCTGAGTAGCAGACGCAGGGCTTGACTATCATCCTTCATCCATCCATACATCAAGTCTCGTAACAGTCATCTGGCATCAATGTGTCAGACCGTCTTGCCGCCGCAGTCCGGTATAACGACGCCAGACTTGACCTTGCGGTTGACGTCCATCAGACCCCATTGGTCCTCCCAGTTCTTGTCTTTTTCGTTGTACATTATCTTCCATGGCTCATCAAAGGCCGAGAACCAAAAGTAGTTGGTACCATTAGTCAAAGCGGGACATACCCACTTGTCCAACAGCTCATTCAGCTCGTCGATACCGGCAACTGAGGCATTGGGGCAGCCCGTAGCAGTGCCATCGCCGCAGCTTGTGCCACCTTTGGTCGGCCAACCAATCTCGGCAATCACGTTCTTCTTCTTGTCCGACTTGAAGAACCCACCGGCTTGATTCTCCCAAAATGCGTAAGTCCACATGGCTGCGTCCTTGGCGTTGGTTCCAGAGAAGAACGGGTGGATGTTGGCCATGATGTAGTCACTCTTTGACGCCAAAGATGCCGTCCAGTCGTCGCCCAGGTCTGAAGTTGCCACAGGCAGGCTAAGTCCCTTGCTGGTCAAGTTGGTTCGTACCTCTTGGAGTAGAGTCCCCAGTTCCGACTCGGTCATTTGCTTCCGGAACAGAATTTCGTTGGCGACGATGAGACCCTCGAAATGCTTGTCTCCGTACTGGTCCAGAATATCCCACATTTGGGAAAGTTGTCTCGCGTTGGTTGTCTTGTTGCCATCCTGCCATACACCCAACCAGATCTTCACTGTGCCCTCCAGTTTGAGTTGCTCAATTGAGTGAATAAGCATCTGCGTCTGGTTGCAGTCTGTGCCGTACAAGCGGACAGTGTTGGTCAGTTGACTGAGAACAGCAAGATCACGGGTGATGTTGTTCTGTGAAGGAGGATTGTGATAACAATCGGGGTACTGGGAGTTGAGAGGCGTGTAGTCCATTCCGGGGAACACTTTATGCAGTTCCTTGTTGTTCATAAGCGCTTTGATTTCGGCACTGTCGGCGCTGAGGTCACCGTTGGAGTTCTTGTCGTCGTCTGCTGATTGTCCATTTCCTGAGCTGTTGCCGTCGCGACTGTTTCTAGAAATCAATCCACCTGCAATGCCACCAGCAATGGCACCGGCGATGAGGAGGATCACTCCGAGAATAATGCAACACTTCCACTTTCTGCGTCCCTTGTTTTGCTGCGCCATCCACTCTGATTTCTTCTCTGGTGAGCTGAGGTCAATGGCGCTGCCGTTTTGATACTCGGCCGTTCCCTTGGGGTCGTAGTAGCCGCTGTGATTTCGGTTCGCCATCAATCCTGCTGCGGCACCTCCCGCAGCAGCCGCGCCGGCTGCGCCAGCTGCTTTCGTCTTGCCTGTTCGATCGCTGTTGGAAAGACTAAGCATCGAGTTTCGTCCACTTTTGGGCTTGCCGTAGTCGAGACCATCATCACCATCGTCCGCGATAGAGTTAGGATCCACCACGCCAAGGTGTTGGGGGTGTCGTTGGTAGTAGGGGTTTTCGTTGTAATAGTCGTTGTAGCCGTATGGGCTCGAAGATGGGGATAGCCTGGCCGGAGAAGCGCCAGCTCCGCCGAGAGCCGTCAGGCTGGAGTGGGAGTCTCGGTCCGGAAGACTGCCTTGGTAGCTACCTTGGTAAGGACGCGGGACGGCATTGCTCATCTCATATACGTCGCCTCCCGGTTGACTGTAAGCTTGCGGTGGTGCACTGGGCTGCTGAGACTGTCCTCGCGGGGTCTGGCCAGCACTTCTCATGGCACCAACCCCGCTCTCCCTGGCGTTACGTTCGGCGACGGTGTAAGCGATACCAGCCATACCTCCTGATGCCGTGTCGCTGAAGTTATCCGCGCCAGGTGTGATATTCGGATTCAGATTGCTCTGCTGTGGAGCCGCATAACGATCGGGGCCCCAGTCGCGGTGCACCGGAACCTGCGGAGAGTTGTCGATGGGGGATACGGCTTGATGAGCTCCGTATGCTGTAGCGGCACCGCCCACGGCACCGACAGCAGCCGGTGGTGGTCCCTGGCCATCGTTCCTCCGCTCAGCTCTCATGCGGCCAAAGTTCGGGTCATGATTGGGTTCGGAGTACTGGTGATCATGATGGTATTCATGAGGCGCGCCGTGGTGGTACTGATTATCTTGGTAGTACTCTGGGGGATTGGGGGTATGAGACCGATAAGCCTGGTCTAGGGGCTCTCGCTCGGCATCGCGGCCGTCTTCAAAGTCGTATCGTGGCATGTTTCGGGCAGGATGTATATTTTCGAGGTAACGTCTCGCAACCCTCGTGGGTTGAATGGTTGACTGACCAACAGCCAAGAAGTTCTGCTCGATTGTGGTGGATGAGGGAAGCGGAGAAATCGAGGGACGCTGGGTAGACGGGAGTCGACTTTGGAGGATGGCCGGCTAATGCGTGCGGCGGTTGCAGGAATGCGGGTGCAATTTCAAAATGTCTCGGAACAACAACTGTTTAATTGTGAGTGCGGTTCTCGCTGAAATCGGCATGTGTAAAAGCCCGCCTAATCATTCCAGCGTAGCGACTGCAGCGAGATCGAGAAGAGACCGCATCAAATTGAAGAGGTGCATGGAGAACAGATGATGCAGATAGGAAGCAGGGAAAGAAACACTAACCTCCGTGCACCAGGTCTCCCGGTGACTCGGATTGAGAAGCCGGCAGGCGGACGACGCAAGCTAGTCGCCTCCGCCTAGTAGAAGTAGTGTCGCGGCGAGTTTGGCGATGGTTGAGCGTACCAAAGGAAGTTCGTGGGACAGTCGCAGAGACGTTTGGCACGTTTGTTTGTTCGAACGGGCGAGCAGCGAGAAGCCGGGGAATTACCGGTGCGACAATGTCGAGGCGAGGAATCGCGCGTTTTTGAGATGACTGTCTCGAAACCCTGGGTGGGATTAGGTGTATGGAGATTGCAAACCGTCAAAATGGGCTTCGCTCTGCCAGAAACCGTAAGGGGAAGAAAAAAGGTAGATGTTGAGGTGAATGGGGTGTGAGCGAGAATGGTGAGCAAGCAAGCCCCCGAGAGTGTTAGGCGCGGAAAATCTGGCTGGGCATTTAGGTGTTTCGCCCGCAGCAGCGCCAGGTAAGAAGTTCGTATTTTGGTACACCCGTGCGGCTCCCTTGTCTGGCGTTGCGCTTGCTCGTATTGGCTTGCGACCCGTCTCCAAGTGTTGTCGAGGAGCTCGAGTACTGGTATCTGCCCGCGGGGTGCGCGCGCAGGAAGCGGGAGCCGGAGGAATCGTTGTTTGGAGTGGTTCGCCTTGGAGATGCTGAAGACAAGGCTTGGAAGGATTGTTGTCGGCGTCGGGCATGAGGCATTCGACAGAAAAGAAGGAATGATACGGATACAATAAGGTGGGTAGCACGATGAACGGTGGCTTGGGTGGTCTTGTGTTCGTGGATGTTGGCTTTTCAATCTTGGCCCATGAAGACAATGGACGACCCGACGTCAATCAGTGGAGAGGGACTGTACCGTAGTACCGAAGCTGCAACGACGATATACGTAGGTACCTTGGAAGACTCTATGTATACCGCGGGACTTGCGAAAAGAGGCAAAATGCGCCGCGTGTGAGACAAATTGGGGGGCCTTTAAGTTCTAACAGGATGGGATGGCAGGAACGGGGGCAGGCACAGCTGAAGCAAAGGTACCTACAATGTAAAGCACCCCGTACCTAGGTACCGTAACCTCTCGTGAATGCTTCCTTCCTCAGCCATATTCTTCCCTTGTGTGAACAGATTGGGGACAGATTGGCATTTTCACGGGAGGAAGTAACTGCCATAGCCATTTACAGATATCCTTCCTTGGCAAATTGGTTTGGTCGCCGCCTCCTTTCACTGGCACCCGTTCTCCATACCATATATGGCCTCATGAGTCTCGACAACAACGGGAATGGTGCGTCGATAACAACGGCCCAGCCTTGTCCCTCCAAGCTGGAATCTGGGGAGGAGGAACCTAGCTATACCTGCCTCCCCTCCGAGCCCCAGCCCCTGTGCTCACGGGACTCCTCCCTGACCCCATCTGCTTTGCCGAGTGCCGTCATCCAGGACAGGGGGGCGCCTTAGGATGATGGGATCAGACTGAGAGAGTGGAGTGAATGCTGTTGCATTTGCACCTTAAAAACCTAAGCCCAGGCAATACCAGACCCGCCTGGTATCCGACTAGGTAGTTTTCTCGGAGTGAAAAATAAAAGCAGACTAGGGGAAAGGAGAGGCA